ACATTTGAACCTTTTGAGTTTGTTTCATTATTTTTCTTTTACATACACTTGTGCGGTATCACCCTTGCCTCGGATTCAGCTTGCACTACGGCCTGACGCCTGATTGATTTCGTCAACCTAAGATCAAATCACAACGTGGGTAGCTTAGACTAGAGATCAAAGCAGTTACTTTGGTAACCAGACGTTGGAGGCAAGCTGAGAACGACAAAGCTGATATCGAATCTAACCAGACATCGACCGCGACAACCAGAGGGGTTAGTGTCACACATGGTTCCGTGGTAAACCAGATTTCCATCCGAAGCAGCCAAGGGTTAGATCGTCACAAATGGGGCTGCAGTCAGCCCAGGGTTAGGTGGCATCACAAATGGCGGCCGTGACCAGGACTGACCGGTGGCGTCACAATTGGCACCGCGACCAGCACAGGACAAGACGAGGGTGGCGTCACACAGAGACCTCCACGAAATCGCTAAAAATCAGCATACCGTGATGAAAATATTTGTGGCCTTCTCCTTTTTTCAGTCCATACCATAGGATTTACAAAAAGTCTCGCAAGCTCCTTTTATTTTCCTGGAGTGCTTTTGGGGATAGATTTTTATGCCTTATATACCAACCTAGTTGATGTGCAGATGGTATAATGGATAGCGGCTCAGAATGGAAAATCAGAGAAACGAGTTCGAATTCCATTTGGGTTCGTTGCATTCACTTACGTGCAAATACTCTTGTGAAAGTTAAGAATACATCTCCCCATCCCTAAGGGTTAAATAGTAGGATTTGTACCTGGAAAAATTATTGTTATTCTCAAAAAATGTTAGTGCAATATTCACTCACAAAATATGACATATTTCAGATTGTAAGAATATAAATTTTTTTATTTTTGAAAATAATCCACAAAGGGTTGATAAGTCGTAAAAAACAATGTACTAACTTAATGCATATTTTTTCTAACATTTTTAAATTCTCGTTCTTCACTTCTACTTTGGCACTAAAATCAGAAATACTGAGACATGGAATTTTGACTAATTCACAAAATGGGTAAAATATGAAAACCCTGTCAGTGTATTGAAGAAAGCTCAACTTCATTTCAACGTGCACTTAAATATATTATCTATGACATAAACAACTAATCTCAATTAGCAGAAATATGTCAGAGCTGGTTCAGTTGATTTATTCATTCATTTTTTACGGCTTATCAACCCACTGCAGGTTATTTAAAGTTAGAACATATTTTTTGATTGTAAGAATCCTTTTTCTTTTCTTTTTTGCAATAATAATGGTTAAGTGATATAAGTTTTACTAATTAACCACAATCACACATTTTATCTCAAATGAATGAGCTGGAGAAAAAGAACAGAAAAAAAAAAAAACGAAATAGATCCACATGGTCCATGTCTACTCTGGTTGGAGTGTCATCTTCCACAGCTGTTGTACAAGGCTCAACTGAAAAGTCTATAGGCTGACCATGCTATAAATATAACTCGACACACCAGTTTGTAGACTAAAAGCAATTTTTAACATCAACTTGAAATTTTTCTTGTTAACAAGTTGAATAATTTAACACAACATTATGGATAAAAAAAAAAAATAGTGAATTCTACCTAGCATTTTCTTGAGACTTAGCATAAGCAAAACAAATTCATAGATTTGAATTAAAAAATAAAAATGATGCTAGAATGATGTCAAATTCCGAAATTTCTTGTAATCCTTTAATAGTTAATTGTGCTTAGTTTAATTTGTGACGTATATAAATGTTGGAAGAAAAAAAAGCAAATGTTAATAAGATAGGGAGGGTCAAAAAGCACTATTCAGGGACCCCAATAAATGTATATAGTTACTCAGTGGGAACAGGGTGAGCAATAACTGAGCTGTATTAAATATAAGATCTAGATGAGATGTCCCTAAATATGGACTGTGGAATGCAAACAGTCTGTCTCCATAGATTAAATAAAGGGTTTAGTTCAGAATTCCCTGTAGGTTACCCAGACTGATATACACCTGATGAAGGCAGAAATGTACAATGGCTGAAATGTAATAACAACAATGATGATGATGACAGTCCAAATATAAATAGTGAAAATAAAGATATTCTTTGTAAATTTTAATGGTTTTTATTTTGTTGACATGTTGGAGAAAAATAACATTTTTGGAAATTAAAAAAAAAAATCACTTACTTCTGTAGTCTTTGTCAGTGCTTGAAACTGAATAGTTTTTGTTTTTTTCAAACTGGAATAAATTAGGAATTCAGTGGACATTAATGACCTCAGTGAAAGAATCACCAATCTGTTATTAACACACCAAAAAGACAAAGTGAAAAAGAGTTTTCAGTCATTCACCTCCACTCTTATAGCTGGTGTCAATGATTGGAGTGAGTGACAGATTCATATGAGAAAAAAGGACGTGGAAGAGACAATAAACATCTTCAACATGTGCTATAACCAAAAGGTTGGTGATTAGTGCACTGAGGTCATTAATGTCAACTGGATTTGAAATTTAGTCCAGTTCATAAAACAAACAAAAAAAAAATCTATTTTTTTTAAAGGTTCTATTTGCTTGATTGTGAAGCTATTAATAACCAAGTGGCCAAAGCATTGCCAGATCAGACAGTGGTTTCTCCTGCAAGAGGGGGGCAAGAAATCGATATTGTTTAAAATAAACATGGCATCTACTCAAATACGGGTATCGACTAAAAATAACGTTTGAATTAATAAAAATATGTCAGGGCTAAAAACTAAATTCTATTAACTCTTTAGAAATTGATTTGTTTACATTTCAGAAACAAAACTGAGCAGATATATCTTTCAAGAAAATCTGAACAAGTGAGTGTGCTTTAAAAACAAACAATCTTGCTTGATTGAGAATCTCTTCATTGCCGATGGGTCAAAGTAAATTGAATGAGATTCTGGTTTCTCCTGCCAAGGTGGATTTCAGTTTCAATCTTGCTGGAGGTCACATTTTATTTATTAAGTTTTCTCAAGAGTGCAGGCCAGTAGATGAAATAAATAATGTTTAAAATGAATGCTGTATCGACTCAAACAAGTCGGATTAAAAAATAAAATCTATTAGCTCTTCAAAAAACATTCAATATTCAACACTGACGAAAGGCGACAGGAGTATCCCAAAATTTTGTAATTTTCAAAAACTTTGTGCTCCCAAATAAAAAAATAAACAAAAAATATCTTTGTCACAACTTTTTATATAATATAAAGAGCATAAGTGGGTATTTACTATCAATATATATTATATAGGTATTTACTAATCTGTCATCAGACAAGCTGTGTGAATAATTAGATTGTGTTGAAAAAAGATAACATTCAAAACTGTGACTTTTAGCTGGACTTGGTTATCTCGGTAAATCAGGGAGCTTTTTCAAAGGGAAAGAGAGAGCTTACCATGAAAATCAAGATTCCAGTCTTTTTTTGCTTTCAAACCCAAAACTCTAGCATTGGTGGAATGTTTAATTTAGGGTTGTGTGTTATGCATATAAACACACACACACAATTGGGAACATGTGGGTTTTTTTTAATTTATTTATTTATTCTTATTATTATCAAGAGTAGGAAGATTGTGTTGCACCAACCACTAATTGTAGCACAGAGAATGTACTGTACAAATCTTTCAATCAGAAATCAGTATTTGGGATGTTGGATTTTATTTGGTTATGACCAGTAAAAGCCCCAAATAGTTGTTGGTCTCATTCACCAATTTGGTTCATGCCCATGTCATGATGAAACACAGTTAAGCAATGTTGAGTATGGCCAGTATGGTTTGCTGAGGTATACAAGATGCTGTAAGCTTGAATATGTCAGTGGTGTAATGGATAATGTGTTCATTATAGTCACTTATTCACAAATATTCTTGGGAAATATATGAATCCATCTCTTCCCCCCAGGTATGGGTTAAATATTAGGACTTGTATCAGCAAATTATTATCTCAAAAGGATTCTTACAATCAACTAATATTTTCTGGCTTTGAATAACCTACAAAAGGTTGATAAGCTTTAAAAAAAACAAATCAATCATTCACTAACTGGACAACAGAAAGAGACAAATGGAACAACAACAACAGAAAGAGACAAATGGAACAACAACAACAGAAAGAGACAAATGGAACAACAACAACAGAAAGAGACAAATGGAACAACAACAACAACAGAAAGAAAGACAACAAATGGAACAACAACAACAACAGAAAGAGACAAATGGAACAACAACAATGGAACAACAAGAAAGAGACAAATGGAACAACAACAACAGAAAGAGACAAAATGGAGACAAACAACAACAACAGAAAGAGACAAATGGAACAACAACAACAACAACAGAAAGAGACAAATGGAACAACAACAGAAAGAGACAATTGGAACAACAACAACAGAAAGAGACAAATGGAACAACAACAACAACAGAAAGAGACAAATGGAACAACAACAACAGAAAGAGACAAATGGAACAACAACAACAGAAAGAGACAAATGGAACAACAACAACAGAAAGAGACAAATGGAACAACAACAACAACAACAGAAAGAGACAAATGGAACAACAACAACAACAACAGAAAGAGACAAATGGAACAACAACAACAACAGAAAGAGACAAATGGAACAACAACAACAGAAAGAGACAAATGGAACAACAACAACAACAACAGAAAGAGACAATTGGAACAACAACAACAACAGAAAGAGACAAATGGAACAACAACAACAACAACAACAGAAAGAGACAAATATGCATCATAGAGTTGGTCACAAATTTTATTATTTAAGAAAAAAGTATGTGTTAATAAAAGTAGACATTCTTTAATATTGCTGTTATTAAACGTATTCTGGTAGAAGTTTAATACTGATTTATTTAGATGTTGTTAATGGTCTTTGAGTTGTTGAAATGTTTCTAAAATTCTCAGATCTAAATTTTAATAAAAATTTTATTTTTCCTTTTTATTTCTGAAGAAAATGAGAGAAAAAGTGTTTCAAAACAGCTCCTTCCCAGCATCTGTGTGCTTACATCTTCTGCACTGGTTGGATTCCCAAGATGTGAAACCCAGTTCGAATGACACTAGCTGTTGCTTCACACAGCAACAAACGGCTCATGTTGATGTTGATAATTTCACCTGAAATGTAAAAAAAATAACAGACAGTGAAATTGTCAATAAACTTTGTCAAGAGTCAGGAATATATACAACTTTCTTCCAAGAAAAAAATTAAACAAGGAAAAAAAATTTTTTTTTAAATTACACAACAGGCAAAAAGTTTGGGGACATCCTGGTATTTCTTAAAAAAAAAAAAAAATCTTTTTGTATTTTTTTAAAATAAAAATAAAATTTCCAAAACTACAGTGTATTTGATTTTATTCTGACAAAAAATAAGCACTTAGCTATAACACATTATTATAGAACAGCATCATATTTTGTTTTTGTCAATAAAACCACCACCTGCTTTAACCATTACCATGCTGGAACTAAAAATTGTTGCTGTAGAATTATCTCCCTTTGCAATTGTAGGCACATTCTGTTGCCTTGAGACAACTGCTATAAATAAACACTTGTCAAATGTCATTTCCAGTATTTTAAGCTGGAAATCATCTACTACAGCTTTGGAACAAAACTAAACTTCACTTTTCCAACACTATTTTGAATTTTTCTAGGTGTAACATCAATTAAACCCACATAAATTTTTCTTACAATTTTTTGTAAACAAAAACGACCACATCAACGTAGTAGCCTTTATGATTTTGAAGGCTTTATTCAAGTGGATATTAATGGTGAATTGGTCAAAGATGATAAACATGCTAGTGAAATGAAGGAAATCAATGATGACCACTACCAGCTATTATCATCCATGGGCTGACTAATTTTATGGAAGCTACTGGTGACCATCGATGTATCAGATAACCCCTCTAAAGGTGAATTATTTTGCCTATTTATAAACAATGAAATAATAACTTTATTTGTCAATGAGACAAATAAATATGCTAGACAGAAAGACCAAACAAATGCTGGTGTCTTCTTATATGTAAATATGAGGAGCAAATCACTTTTTTGATGAAATGAAAGCCTTCTTAACCATTTGCTTCTTACTGCATCCAAGAGCTCCACAAGGATTGATAAAAGTTAAAGTATATTAAATTGTTATTTTATTTGTATTTTTTTTTGTGTTTCAATGTCAAAACATGCATAGAAAATTATTACATCAAAATATTACTCATCTATTCTTTTATTAGTATACAAAAAATAAAATCCAAAAATATGGTAATGATAATATTACCCGTTTCCTTATAAGGAAACATTTGGTGTTCACTGACCGAGCAGCCAGTACTACTTTTGGGTGAACTGTATAGTCTTTCTCTTAAAACAAATTTTTTTTTAAGGAAAATAGGTTGCTCAACTCCAGTAACTGTTATCACTCTTTCCAGTATTGATGCACATCTTACTCTTCTCTGTACACCCTTGCAACAATCCTATTTAGTAACACTCTACCTTGAGTAGCTCTTGGATCTATTAAACTTAGAATTAAATTTTAGCATTAAATGACCCATAAGGAGTTTATATGCCATTAAACAAACAAACCAGTGTTAAACATTAGACAGACAATAATCTCTCTTTAGAGAGTGCTTTTGTTCACAGTGATTCATCTGAAAATCTTAACTACCCAAACAACTTATTCTTTGCACATGCATTTAGCAGATTAATCTCTCCCTTGAATGTAATGTGGAAAAAGAAGTGGAGAAGGACATTTCCTGATGCCTGCAATTAGTATTATGGTGTTACAAGTCTTAGTTATAAGTCACTGTGCAGAACAGGCCACATGCCACATATTTTACCATATACTGACAAGAGGTAAAAAAAAAAAAAAAACAAAAAAAAAATATCTGGTTAATAAGTTTGTGAGATTTAAATTAAAGTCTACCTACCAGTCTGACGATCTTTTTCCACACAGTAGCATTGGTCATAGAATTCTGTGAAGACAGTGGCCAGTTCATAAATGTAATCACAGAGGGAATGTAAGAGAAGATCATCTAGAATTTTTTCAATCACATCCGGGAAACGTATGATGCATTTAGCCAGTTTCCACTCCTTCTCATGGTCCAGGACAATTTTCATGGTGTGTGCAGCGGCTTTCAGCTTCTCCTCAGAGACATTTGCAAGACGAGCAATGGACCTGGACAGAAAGGGTCACAGATTATATTGACATGTAAACAACAACAACATGTCTAGGTTAACAAAAAAAACATGTTTGTTTCTAATTTAATTTGTCTTTCAATAGAAAATTATCAATATATATATATATATATATATACATGTGCGTATGTGCTATACTTTTAGGGATGAAAACTCAATATTGATGATAGGGCATTTACTGATATAAACAGGGTGGACATAGGAATCATGGTGATTGTCAGTTTCTTGTTTCTATGTGTGCTAGTTTCAGACCAAGTGCTTTAGCAGGTTGTATATATAGTGAGCTGTGTATATAGGTCGCTGGAAGATTAAAGGAAGTTAAGTGAGAGTAAACTGGACCTTTTCAGTTTATTTGATTAGGGCTAACACTGAGGTTCTTTATGGTAATGACAATGAGAGTGCTTATTTATACTGGATGAGTCAGTTGACTGTATATATTGTTGCAGTACGAGCACATTTGCATATCATGTCACATTGGGAAGTCACCATTTGTTGCAGTACTGATCCTAGTTGAACTACAAGCAATGGCAAACAAAATTTATGTGTAAATGACAGGTTGTCATTGTGATTAGAGCTGAAAAGAAATGCAATAAATTTCAAGACAAAAATATTTTCATGTGTTTTATATAAGGTTCGGAAATGATTAATTACAAATAAAATACAAGTGTATGCATGGAAAATAGCTGAAAAGAAAGAAAACATTAAAATCTAGCTATTAAGAATTGTGTGTACGTGTGTATAAGAGTTCAGTCACCCAGGGAAAGATACTATCACCAAGCTGATGTAACTTCTACTGCATGCTAAAAGGAAAAGAGAAAAAAAGAGGAAGTGCCAAATTTTTATAGCTCTTTAACAGCGCCACCTAACGGCATCTTGGCAAACCAAGTGGGGGTAATCACACAATATAAATAGGGTAGGATTGTTTATGGTAATGACCTCCAGATTGCTTATTTAATTATATATTATTTATTATATTATTCATAAATTTGTTTTGTATATTTTTATGTATTTTTTTGTTTCTACGTTTTTGATATGTGAAAGAAAGTTTAATACAACTAGAATATACAGCATGCCAAAAGGGTAAGGGCACTTGATCTGAAGATCATACTGTGAAACTATTAGTCACTATGAATGCATAAAGTTCTGAAAATCACTGTAGTGTGTGTGTGTGTATATATATATATATATATATATATACGAAATGGCCGTCCAGTGCTTTCTGCATTCTGTTGAGGTTTCTTCTAGACTTGATGAATTACTTAATTATCTCAAATCCTCCTTAATTTCTATCATTTGTATATCCTTGCTTAAACCAGTTTCTAATGCTCTGGATGGAGCGGTTTGGTGATGGTAGTGGTGGCTCTCAGAGGCACAGTCCTATAGGTAAAGGAACTTGGATGAGTTCCACCACGGAATATGTGAACGAGTGGCGCAATATCAAGTCTAGTTCGCTACCTCTTCATCACCGAGGCCTGTTAGTACAGGTATGACGTTTGCCTGTCAATGTAGCTGTCCAGGTTTCAATTCTCAGTAGTGCATGCACACTGCTGATGAGTCCCAAATATAGGATGAAACGGCTGTCCAGTGCTTTCTGCATTCTGTTGAGGTTTCTTCTAGATTCTATGAATTAAATATAATATATATATATATATATATATATATATATATATAATAAAGAGAAAGAACAGTAAGATATATAATCTGGTGTTTTATTTATATTTTTATTTTTACAAAACAGTGCTCAATGCAAATCTACAGAGCATAAATATTATGAATTTACTTATTTAAAAATATGGTTCCATTGCTACATAAGAAGTACCATGTTTCAAAAACAGAAAATAAAAACTTCAAATTCAATTACAGAATTAATGTTAAATTTGTACTTGTACACAAAAAGATTTATTTTTTTATTATGTATACAAGTACAAATTTAACAGTGAAACAAAAGTGATGAAAAACTTTTTGTTGTTGAAAAAGACCAGACAACATGCGTTGAACAGATGTCATCATTCGTTTGAAAAGCCTCCTACCCTACCTTGACTTAACCTCTTTTCGGAAGTAACTCTTATTTTGATACAATAGTTGTCAGTAAAAATGAATACCCTACCACCCATTGTTAAAATGCCTGGATTTCCCCATATCCATAGAAACTAATATTAAGAATGTATGTGCTTATAAAACTCAGTAAATTTCAAAATAAGCTATTCCAAAATTAGCTTGAAAATGAAACACAACTAGGGACTTTAATTTAATTTTATAATTGAATTTGAACTTTTTAGCTTCTGTTTTTGAAACATGGTAATTCCTGTGTAGCGATGTAACAATATTCTTAAATATATATATATATATATATATATATATATATATGAAATCACATAAAAATTCAATTTGTTTTAAATGACATTACCTAAGTAACTTGAAATTCGTCCCAGCAAATGAGGGACACAGGAATTAACCAAATAAAGTTTCATCAACAGATTAAACATGCAATTCTTGATAACAATTGTAGCGATAGTTGAAAGTACTTTGATCTCCCACCTAACCTAAAAAAGAACTTTGCAAAGTTTAACAATTTTAATTCAGTCATAAGACAAACTAGTCAGAAGTTGGAAAAATTTAATAAAAAATTGGACTGGCAGGCCTTGTTAGTATTGTTCAACAACACTTCTTTCTTGGTGCCTAAATACATATACATGTTCCTTCCTACAGCCATCCATCTTAACAATGATATCTGGCACAGTATGGCTCTTTCTCACACTGCACTATGCACTTAGTCTTTGAGAAATTTGCACATCCTGTAAAATGGTGATTGGCAAAATTGTTGCAGTTTTGTTTGATATGATTTAATAATTCGATAAGCATTCTTTTCATATACAGCAAGTTAAAATTTTAATTGCCAAGATGTGATCTAAATGCTAACATATTTACCATTTTCCGGACAGAAAATGACTTTATTTGAATAACTAAGCAAGTATATAAACCAATAACAAAACAATTACTTATTTATTAAAGACCATAAACAACCAGACTGGTTATGAATTTTATAAAATATTTAATTTTTTAGCATGGAATTTTTCATAAAGTTGGCCAAGATATAAGACACATACTGGAAGATATAAATACCCACATTTAATTGACATTAGTTTTAGGCAATAACTCCACACACAGACAGAGAGTGACAATTAACATTAAGTATATTTAACATATTTTTCAGGGTTTTGAACAGACACACACTGATTTTTATATATAACTCATTACATAAGCAAATTGGATGGTGGGACAAACTTAATAAACTGTGCTATAATAGACACACTGGTATAATAATAAGGGGCCTAAAAGAAAGTGAAGTAGAATCCTATAAAATAAAGGGAAACTAATTCTTAGAAAAGTAGGGAAAGAGAACTCCCTTATCAATTTCATTTTCTTTAATTTAAGGATAGGGTCTTTTTATTGTCAAAATTTGATCTTTCTTTAAATTTCAAAATATTCAAATTTTCTTTCAAAGTAATTTTAGTTTCATTTCTTCTGTATATATCAAAAATTAATTTAGAAAATTCCTTCCCAATCACCTGCCATCATCTTCACAGACAAACTTAACAATATCCTACCGCTCATTGTGGCTTCGTGATGGTTGTCGTGGCTCTCAGAGGCACAGTCCTATGGGTAAAGGAAGTTGGATGATTATGGCCCTCCATGTGGGATGATGAGTTTACATTATTTATATTCAGAGTAATATCCTCATCTCTGCTGTTACAATCAAAACATTTTGGCTCCAACTGGTGCATCCATTGGTCACATAACAAGATGATCATCTTGGTACATAACGATTTGATAAATTTGGGAAATAGAGTGTGAAAAGAGGTTTTAAAAATACAGGTATGATGACGCTTAAATTTTGCAGTAGAAAATATTTTGCAAATGTGGCAAAGAAATATTACTCTGTTCAAAAAGAGGTGATAAAAGAACTGAGAACTTCTTTTATGTGCCGTGTCCCTTAAGAAGGCAGGCGATTATGGCCCTCCACATCTTCTTGTCCCCTTAATAAGTTTCAACTTTGTCATTTCTTCTCAAGCTCATCAAGCATACTATGCACTGCTTTCCTGTGTCCCTCTTTCCCTCAGTCTGTCCTGTGAGTATCATGTTTTCCAAGCCCTCTTTCCCCATTATGTGTCCTAGAAATTTCAACTGTCTCTTCCTGATAAGTTTCCTTTTTGTTTCTATTTTCTTGTTGTTGCTCACATGTTCAATCCATGGTATCCTCAGCATCTTACTGTAGAACCACATTTCTGTTGCTTCAAGTCTCTTCTTCATCTTCAAGGAGATTGTCCAGCATTCACATAACAGTCCAGAACACTCAATGGATAACTGGCCTTGTGTTGCCTTAGCGAATTTAGCTAAAGACTGTGTGAGATGAGCTTGGGATATAGAGATCAACTTGCTGCTTTCAGTAAAGTAGCAAATGTTAAGAAATATTTAAAAGTAGAAAAAGCAAGAATATTTAAATGCAGAAAAAAAAAATCCAACTTACCTGATTCTGGTGTAGGCATAAAGAAGGTAAGCAGCTGTGTTACCACGGTCGTCTAACATCTACAAAAGATGAAAAACATATACTTCTAGTAGTAGACTCAATATATTAAAAACATATATATATATATATATATATATATATATATATATATAAGGTTGTAGCCTCTGTCTGTTATCGAACACCTCCTAGGGTTTGGGAGATAGACACTCCCTCCTTAATAACCATATATATTCTGAAACTACATTACCCAGTATACTTGGATAAGTATATTTCATTTTGAACAAAGGCATTCCCCAGGGGACCCCCCAACCCAAACTGATAATTTTCTTCCCTTTTATATATAAATTAAATTTGAACAAGGGAATGACTCCTATCCAAAATAAAGGAGAAAGCCAGCAAGATCATTTTGATCAAAGTGGGTCCTCGGAGGAAGCACAACACCCTCACTGAAATTTTTTTTTCCATATGATATAAATTAAATTTAACTTTGAACAAGGGAACGACTCCTATGGTATTTGAATAAGAATATTCCATTTTGATCAAAGGGAGTCCCCGGTGAGCACAAAATCCCCCACTGAATTTTTTTCACCTTTGATTTAAATTAAATTTAAATTTGAACAAGGGATTAATTGCTACCCAAAATATAGGTAAAAGCCAGAAGATGGAGGTCACATTGGCAAGATCAAAATGGGACAATATGGATGTCAAGTTGAGCAAGAAATCACCAATCAGTGGGTAGTGCCTTCCAATACATACTTGTGACAATTCAACTGTCATATTAATGTTAAAATCTGCTCATTAATTCATTCAATCAAGTATTGTATCAAATACATATTAAAAAGTCTCAAATCAAGCTGTTTTTGCAACCCCACCCACTGAAAATTTTATTCCCTTTGATTTAAATTAAATTTAAATTGAACAAGGGAATGACTTCTATTCAAAATATAGGAGAAAGGCAGAAGATGGAGGTCAGATCGGCAAGCCCATTGAGCAATATTGAAATGCATTATATTTCTCCACAAATTATAACAATGATTTAAAATCAATCAACTTTTTCTAACAAAATAAATGTGTGACATGCAGCAAGGCATGGGTATTTAATAAATCAAAAACATATACAGGATGCAGTAAAAATACTTCCCACGTAATAGTAAGATATTAGCTCAATTACAACACTAATGACTTACCATTATATTTTCATTTATTTTTGGTACACCCTATACTTTAGTAGTAGATTTAATAATATATTAAAAACATATATTTAATAATATAAAAACTTATTTAATAATTATAAAAAACATGCATATCTATATAATCAATGCGAATGTCACTGAGTCACACTTTTTTTTAAACTTTACTCCTAGAAGCTGTAGCCCAATATATTATACCATTTTGGAATCAGGCTGACTCTGTAAGCAAATTAAGAACATTCCAGGCTGTATGAAATCCCAATCAAGTGCCCTCCACAGGAGCTAGCTTAAATGCCGCATGATACGGTGTCTTGTAAGCTAGTTTAATAATATAGGAAAAACATATGCTAGTAATAGATTTAATATTAAAAACATATACTATATACCAGGAATAGTAGATTTAATAATATATAGTAACATACATTTAACAATTAAAAAACATATATAAAAACATACTGATAATAGCAGATTTAATATATTAAAGCATATATTTAATAATTATAAAACATAAAAACATATTTAATATAAAAAACATCTACAAGTAGTAGTAGTAGTAGATATAATAATATATCAAAAACATAAAAATAGATATTTAGTTATATATCAAAAACATCTACTAGTAGATTTAATATATGAAAAACACACTTAATAATATAAAACATATGAAACTGATATTTAATAATATATCAAAAATGTCTACAAGTTGTAGTAGATCTAATAATCTACAAATTTCGAAAATGGAGCATTATCATTTATTATTAATTTTTGTTGTCTCGGTGGTGACTGATATTTAAGATTAATTTTGGCACAAGGTCACAAATATTAGGCACCCAGTGAGGATGAAACTCAGTAATAATAGTCTAAAAGATTAGCTTACTATTTATTACCATTCTGTAGCTCTTATCCAAATAGTAACAGCCTTGTTTGAATTTCTTAGCTGAAGTCTTGTTAATTATTATTCATTTCTGTCTAGGATTTCTTTCATCTTTTCTCATGTGTCACATCATTTTATTTTCTGTCCGAGTTTCTGGGATGATGAGTTTACATTATTTATATTCAGAGTAATATCCTCATCTCTGCTGTTACAATCAAAACATTTTGGCTCCAACTTGTGCATCACATAACAAGATGATCATCTTGGTACATAACGATTTGATAAATTTGGCCTGTATTATTAGGATGAGGAATTACCATTATTTACCATCTTTGTTGGGATTATCACATTTCAGCTGTTGTTTACCTCTGGTGAATGTTGATCTATCCTACAGGATAATTACTAAGTGGCATATGGCCACTTCACATTGGAAACACCAGTTTCTGTACAATCACTAAAGCAACAGTCAGTAACTAAATGGGTGACTGCTTGGGTATGCTGTAATCTTAGATGTTTGGGTGGTGTAATGTATATCATGTCAGAATTGTTAATCAGAGAGCCAAGTTCTAATTCCAATTGCTTTCCTTATAATCACTTGAGCACAGATAACCATGGGAAAGGTATTAGGTCACCTCTTTTCCCCCCAGATATGGGTTAATTAGTAAGACTTGTATTATAACTTGTATGCAAATACCTTTGGTAAAGGTATGAATGCACCTCTTCAAATCAATGAATCAAAAAAAATAACTAAGTGGATTAAAGCAATGGTTCGTGAATTTGGTGACACAATGAGTTCAATCCCTAGGTTAGGTAGTAATGACTCAGGCTCAAAGGAAACAGTGAGCAATAACTGAATAGTACTAAAAAGTACAAGATATCCCTGGATGCCAACAGTAGAATGAGAACAATCTAGTCAGTAATTTAAAGAAAGGGTTCGGTTTGAAATTCTCAAAAGCTTATTTGGGTCAACAAATTTTGTTTTCATTATTCTCTAACTCTTAAATAAAGCATCTTTGACCTGAAATAAAAGTATAAACTTCTGTTGAAAGTTGCACTTGACGTCAGCATCAGTTGATTACAACTCTGCTCATTGATAATACAGAGATGCAAAATGTCATCATCAACTGTAAGTGAAACATTTCTATCAAATAAAGGTGAAATGCTAGGAAAAGTTGCAACTACCTGAGCCACAAAACTAAGTGAGAACAACTGAGAAAGTTGAATTCTAAATTTGTCTATATTCACCAGATACACTGGTCTCACCGCACTCCATTTCCTGTCAAGTTCCGAGGCTCTAAATGGACGGATAATTAACTCTTTAGGAAAAGATGGACACCGCCACTGGAGGAAAAAACTAAATATTATTAAATGATTATGTACGAGGGAGGTCTGAAAAGTAAAGTACAGTTTAGCATAAATCAAATGGAATTAAACACCATGAAAGCTGTGGACATAAAGCAACTAGGGATGTGAAACACTTCTTGCAACGGTTGGAATGGCCTTGTAACATACGTGCATATGTCAATATGTGGACATAACTGAATGACAAGGGGATATACTGCTACCTTTTTAAATCTTTTAAATGAATACATTGATGTTGTTATGCTATATTTTCATATTCAATTTGATTATAACAAGTTAAAATTATCTATACAGTGAAATAAGCAAAAATCATTTCAAATAATGATTGAGTGATTTGTTTTTTTTACAGCCTATCAATCAAATTTTTCAGCAGATTTAACTGATCATGACAGCTATATGATAAGATATACATCATATATTTAATGTCTAAAAAAATTATTCATTATTATTATTGTTGTTTAGGTAATAAGCATTATAACATAGCACAAATATCTATACTGTGGAAAAAGGAATTTTCCAAAATTTTAACATTTTTTTTACATATTTATAGTTATTTTTTAAGTTTTATCAAAAACAACATTCTTGTATATGCTGTTATGGATAATATACATTAATTAATAATTTTTTTAATTAATAACTATCTGTGCTCAGTTGTTGATATTAAAAGCTATCTGCTGATGTGTTAAAAATTCTGGAATAATACAATAATAAAAATTTAAACGTCATCTCTGATAGATGCTGCGATCTGTTTAAAATTTTTTTAAAAATGTGAAAGAATTGATTTTAAAAAAAAAAACTCATTGAAGAAATAAAAAAGATAATTTAAGATTGGATTCTTTTCATCATTGGAATTCACTGATTTTTATTTTCGTAAATCTTTTAAATATGTCTTCTTTTATGTGCTATGTCACTTCTGGATATAAATGTTCATAGCTCTCCACAACTTCTTATCTCTTGTAGATCTTAGTAACGCTTGTCTTTTAACTATCACTTCCACTCACTGTTTCACCATCCATTTACACAAGCTCATTAGATAGGTTACTCACTGATTTCCTCTGTTCTTGTGAGTCTCAAATTCTCTAAGCTTTTTTTCCTCATAATGTGTCCTAGAAATTTCTACTGCCTCTTTCTGATTCTTAGAATAAGTGTCCTTTTTGTGTGTATCTCCTTTAAAACTTTCTGGTTGCTCTAATGCTCCATCCATGTTATTACTGTAGAACAACATCTCTGCTGTCTCAAATCACTTCTTTATCTGTGAGAAAATTGTCCAGGATAGGGAGGATTGATATTATCTAGATGTTCAGCACTCTCTTCCTTATTTCTACTGAAATTTTCCTGTTTCTTAATACTTTGTTTAGCCTTTGGAAGACATCTTATGCTATTCTAATGCTCCTTTGGATTTCAGTGCCACATTTTCCATCATCTGTTAAAACACTTTCCAGATTCTTCAATCCATGGCTTGCACCTTGGGATGTTCATTTGGTTTGGTTTGGTTCGTTTTATGGCATATCAACCTCCCTGAGTCATTTAATGTTGACATCATTTTTATAGCTGGTGATGATATTTTTTTTTTCAAAAAGGTATTGCTGTTAATATTTTGCTGGTATTAATTTTCTCTTCAAAAATTTATTGC